TCGCAGAATCAAAACAGGAACCCCAGGTGGAACTGATTGTATCACGGCTTTTGGGCACCCGACAGACACCACAAGCCCAATGGGGTCATGCTCACACATTGCCTACACACATGCACAAAGGTAATGTGCTTGAAGCTGACATTAATTTTGAACTCCACCAGGATTCATTATATACCAGGAAGAAGCACCATGAAGAGCAATCAAAAGAGAGATGTTACATTCACAAGAGTCATATTTATTCCAATCACTTTATACTCTCACTGGAAATCCCTTTCTTTTAATAAGAGTTAAAGAGTTTACTGGCTAATTGGTGCTAGTCTCATTAAATCTTTAGACACAGGGATTATTAAAATACCCATTAGACAGATAATAGGACTCTTTTTTTTTTCCTTCAGAAAAGGAGATACTGTTCCATTATTTATACTTCTTGTAGTTTAAGTATGTTCTCAGCTTTTCAAACACACCACAGTTACAGAAACACTTGTTTCCTACTACTTTTTTGTTTTGGTTACATTTCAACCTTGTTATTATAAATGAGCTGATCAAAGCTAAAGTGGTATAAGTTATCATATGTATAGAAGAAGTGTTTTAGGTGTATGTTTTTAATTTATTCACAGTAATCAATGAAAATACATTTGTACTATGAATAATAAAATTTCCTAGCCAGCACACCAATTTACCCTACATTTTGATTTAATTTTATACATCATTGAAGAATTTGACCTATACCACCTTAGCTGTGAGGAGTACATATGCTTCACCATGCTTAAGGCTGCTTCTTGCTGTATTGAGGTGATACTTTGTACAGGAATGGGCATACACATATTGTTGCAAATGGTATGGGATCTAAATTTTTGTATATGTGTATATACTGATAAACTATAGCTATAAATTGTATTTTCACAACATTATTTTTAGTTATAAAAGAAGCAATTTAGAGCATAGTGAGACCAGACATAAATAAGAAATTAGATTTATTAATAAGTTATTTCATTGTACAGTACTAACTTAAAGTTCTTTTTTCTCATATTTAGATTCTTATAACTTTGTATTGGCTAATGGAATATGCTATTAACCATTTGCATTGCATTTAGGGCTACATTTTCATGGAGGAATTATGGTTTGCATGACAGTAACTAGTGACTGTATTTATGTGTGAATAGCTTATGATCTGTGTTTGGTTATGATATGTGTACTTTAATTCTGCCACTCCTTTCCTCTGTCATGAGGATTTTCTCTCAACAAGACAATGGAAAAGCATAATAAATAGAGAAAGAATAATCTGAACTTATTAATTAAAATTCAAGCTACAGTACATAGTTAATGCTTTAAAAGTAAATGCACTTCGAACCTCTTATAAGTTATATGATACTGGAAAACTGTTATTATACCACATTATTGTACTATATAATATGACTTTCCAGTTTCAGTTGTAGATTTTTAAAATAAATTGTTAATAAATGATAAAGAGATTATGTTTAGTATTTTAAAACATTAGTTTTCTTGTATGTTTTTTTAAAATTGTAATGATTTTATTATTATAATCATGAGATCCAGCCCAAAAGTTTGTGGACTGATGAAATGAAGAGATGGGTATGAGATATAAAAGTGTGTATCACTTCCTTGGGAGTAGTGTCCAGAATCTTATTTACTTCAACCAGTGATGCTGTTGTGATACAGAATAGATTTTGAAGTTTTCTGAAACTCCTTTGGAGGTTGCCATAAATTTAGTTTTCATTTAGTTCAACATGACCGTCTGTTTGATTATTTCTCATGTTTGGGGAGTGGGAAGATACTATTAGGGATCCACATGAGTGATGTGAAATTTTGCTAAAAACTTCTTTACTGTGTGCTCTGGTGCATTGTCCTTGTGAAAAATCTAGCCAGAAGTTTATTTTTTAATGGTAAAATCTCTCAGAGGCAAATGAACTACAAATAGAATGTCTGCAATGGATTTTTGATGAACATCGTTCTGAATTCTTTTAAAGATAAGGGAAGAGAAAAGTTGTTACCTTTTGGTTTTAATATAAATATAAATTGACCTTGCTCAGTCAGAAAAGTTTCTTACTAAGAATTCTGATTGTTTCTCTCTAGGTTTTATAAAAAAACTAATTTTTCATTGCAGGTGATGACATGCTAGATTAAATTATTGTCATTTTAGATCACGTGAAATTGTGTCAGGCAGACTGAAATGTGTGTGTATAATGAGCAGAGAGAAAAGTGTTAGTAGATGGAAGCATGGACTATGATATGAATTTTACAGTTTTAAAGTTTGAAATATGATGCTGTAGTAAGAATCTATATGGAATGAGAGGATATAATATGATGTGAACAAGATTGGAGGAGATTTTTCTGCTTTATTTTCTTATTATCATTCACATTTTCAAAACCATATTCACACAACCTTCATGTTGCAAATGATTGACTAAAATTCATTGTACTATTTTTTTGTGATCAAATGTCATGTCATCAGTGTAACGTTTGTTCTTCTTTCTATTCTAACTAATTCTTTTGGATCTTAAAGTTTTATGAGTAATAGAATGTTTTGTATGGCCAAATTATTCATAACTGTTCATGTTTTCTGTCTTCTTTGAATCTTTCAGAACATTCACGGTTTGTATTAATTACATAACACCATCACCATAGACTGCTTTCTGCTTCCTTTATGATTATGTATAGTTTCTTTCAAGTCTCTGTTATTCTGTACACTTTATCTATTTTTATGAAAAGTATAGAAACAGAATTTAACATCAGTCACTATAGAACAAAACAACTGCCTGTTTGATTACAGCCTCTTACAGTTCAGCCACCAGAAACCATATAAATGTTTCCATATTTCCCAAACTTACAGCATTACTAGGGAGTCCCCCAAAATAAATTGAGTCCAGAAACTTTTGGGTTAGACCTTGTATTTCATTGAAACAAATATTGAAATCTACTATATTAAGGTTTGTGTATTGAATCATTATATTTCCTATTGTTTATAGAAATGTTTTTAGCATCATTCAAAGACAGAGTTTAACTTATGGTTTTCATTAGAATATGTTAAAATAACTGACCTCTTGACAAGTCTGCATCTGTCCTTTGTGATCTCCCTTTCTAATTATTAATAATTAATGTCTTTTATGTATTTAGATCTTCCAAAATTATAGTTACATAGAAAAGTATAATATTTTCCTTTACTAATGCAGCTTTCTTCTCTGTA